AAACTGAAAATTTTATAAAAATATGACTTGGCCGTTTTAGCCCCACTTCTAAAAAACATGACATTTCTCGACAATGAAAAACATTCTCGAAAAAAGCTTCTCGTACTTTTGTTGTCAATTGGATGGCGATTCAAATGGCATAAGAACCGAGACTTTAGCTTTTAAAACTAGGGACTAGATATGTTTGCAAAATGAGTTTGTAATTTTGGAGCTATGTGTATAGAAATACTGTTTCATTATTTATTACGCTTTTCATTATTTTTCCTCCATGGAAAGGGGCATGAGGTACACATTCACTAGTTCAAATTCAAGTTCAAATTTATTTAGCATAAGCAAGGACATCACAAAGAAAGTAAACATTTAGTAACTTCTAACATCTGATAAATAGAAGCCTTAGTGATATCTATATAACTGAAAACCCAAATAAAGAATGAAATAGGACAGCATTCTCCAATGAACAAAGGGAAGAAAATATGAATACAACTAGAGCTGTTCGATCATGTATATTCTTGAAAGAGATAGGGACAGAGCGTAGTAATGAGATTTGGATCCCAAACAGAGCTGAGCGGAAGAATATTTCATATTTGGAAAGCATATCTAGGCTCGTAAACTTCTTTTCTTAGGTGTTGGAACAGTACATTATGCATTGATACATCAAAATTATGTAATGGTAGAATTGATTGTCAGCCTTATGGTGATGACGAAGAAATACTTTGTCCCTGGTTAGAGAAATATCCAGTAACGGTTTCGACAAATGAATATACACTATATACATGCAAAAATGGTAAATTGTTTGGTCGGCGTTGCCAGATGCAAGCAAATTTACCTGATTTTATATTTGAAGAGCTTCATTGTAAAGATTTAGAAGATTTAATGCTCTGTGATCTTAATGACAAAAGTACAACAAAATATTTTACAACATCAGATTTTATAGAATATCCACTAATAATTAATTCGTATAATCCGAAAGCTGCTATTGAACACAACACAAATAATAATAAAAACAATTCAACAACTTTAATAATAAATTCATTATTGGATATAGCTAATTTAACATGGTATTGTAATCGCGGTATAATAGTTTTAACGCACCCACTAGCGTCACCATCATCATCAAATCGTTTGTGTCTTTGTCCTCCATCTTATTATGGCGATCGTTGTCAATATCAATCAGATCGTTTAAATGTATTTTTAAGTATTTATAAGCCAACAGCGTTTGAGGGTAGTCTTGTTTTTAAAATACTGATATTTTTACTGGATGATCAAAATAGAATTCAATCATCAGAAGAGCTTGTTTATATGAATACGAAATTTCCAATATTTAGCTGTCAACCACAATATTCTATTTATTTACTTTATCCAACACAACCAAGAAGAATAAATATCACTTATTACGTACGCATTGATGTTTTTGGTATAAATATAATTGATAATAAGATACAATACAGATCATCATGGAATTTTGATATACCATTTCAAAAGTTTTTACCTGTCTATCGTATTGTAATTGAAATCACCATACCAGAACAAGTGACACGGGCTACTGTGTCATGTTCGGATTATAATCTTACTTGTATACATGGATATTGTGTTCAATATGTGAATACTCTAAAAACATTTTGTCATTGTCATGAAGGTTATTCCGGTATATCATGTGATGTGAAAGATGATTGTAGTCACTGTTTAAAAGGATCATTATGTATTGGTCGTGTATGTCAATTAGGTTATATAGGTGAACGATGTTATATTCCATATGAGTTATGCCAGAAAGATAGTTGCTATAATGGTGGTACATGCATTGCATTAGATCGACGAACAAAAGTCTATACATGTTTATGTTTAGATCAATATTATGGTAATCGTTGTGAAAATAAATCAGCAATATTATATGTTTCATTTGCTTCTAATAATCAACTATCTATTCTAGATGTTATACTTATTCATTCTTTTGTCACATCACCATCAATGATGAATTATCGTCGGACAACAATAAAACGAATTCCTCTCTATCAATATAAAAGAACAATTGTTTATTACACGCAACAATATTTACCACATTTAATTTTTGTTCAAGTGTTTGAATTATCATCGTTGAAAAAGAATGAACTCGAATATTATCTGCTAGCAGTAACAGAACACAATCGTGATTTAACTGAACTTTCCACAACAATTGTTTCTTTAAATCGTTGTATTAATATAACGAGATTACTTAATAGAACAATTATGAAATTCACACGTTATAAACGTGTTAAATTCTATCAAAACCTTGTAGAGAAAATAATGAATTACGATGTTTTTATGATGAACAATGGATGTGTCTTTGTAACCGAGAACATTATGCTGATTGTTTTGCGTTTGATCATAGTACTACAGGTTGTAGAGATATTGATTACTTGTGTCAAAATGGTGGTTATTGTGTACAAGATGAAGATTTGTGTGCGCGAAATTCAACTTGTATTTGCGCGAATTGTTATTACGGATCACATTGTCAGTTTGTATCCAGTGGGTAT